TTTTTAACTTAACAACATACTGTGCTTAGCTTTCCATGTCAGGACATGCATTTTGGTGGCTGCATAATAGTCGTGACGTTAGCCATACCTTTGTTTTTTCTGCCTAGTCTCATACTGAGGGTGATCTCAGTCGTTTCACATACTTTGGTATTAAAAACGCTACTGTGATACCTACATGCATATGTCTCTGCACAGTTGGCTTCTTTCCCTGGGACAGACTCCCAGAAGAAAATGCCTGGGCAAAGGGTACACACATTAAAAATCTGAATACCTACAATCAGATCGCCTTCATACAAAGCCTGTAAAATGTAGATGGGCCCAAGTATCTGAGAAGGTCTATTTCCCACACTTCAACCAGCAGCAGGCATCATCAATCTCCCAAGTCCTCACCATCCTGACTGGTCAACACTCTACTGCATCCTCGTTTCAATCTGTAGCTCTCTCTGTCATGAATGAGTTCTCTCTGAGCGCTCAGCAATTTGGGCATTTTTCTTCTCTCTCTTAGTCACTTGTTTTCCTCTGTTTCTTCTATTGGTTTCCTTCTGCCCATTTTTCTACTGAGTGAACACACTTCCCTTTGGACTTTTAAGAACAGAATGAGTTTCTAATTGTTTCTGAATAACCTGACAGAGATGAATTCGGGTCGGAAACAGGGAGACAAAAAAGTGTATGCACGTGAGGGGAACCGAGGCTGCCGTCTCGCTCAGAACCACCCTGGAACCACCTCACCACCTCGATGGACCCTGAGCAGCAGCCTCGGGGTGGAGCGGACGCAGGGGGTCAGCCCTCACCTCCACGAAGGCGAACTTCTCCTCGCTGGTGTAGTTGTAGCGCGTGGCCCTCTCGTACTCCTCCGCCGTGCCAGGGCAGTCCTTGTTACAGAACTTGTCCGTGGGGTGAACCAGCTTCCAGGAGTACTGGGGAGAGCGTGAACAACCCACATGTCCCTCAAGGAGGAATGCGCAGACAAAACCAGGGGTGTCCATGCAATGGAAGACTGCTCGGCCACAAATAGGAATGAATTGCTGATTCGTGCTACAACACGGTTGGACCTTGAAATCATACAAAGTGCAACGAGCCAGCCACAAAAGACCACATGTGATAGGATTCTACTTATAGGAAACATCCAGAATTGGAAAAGAGGCAGGAAGTAGACTGGGGATGGGGGGACAGGGACTGGGGAGGTGGTCATGTGGGGTTTCTTTTTGAGGTGATAAAAATGTACTAAATTTGACTGTGGTTGTGCAACTCTGTAAATATACTGAAAACCAACAAATCTATGTTTAAAATGGGTGAATGGTATGCTGTGGAAATTATATCTCAATGCGGCTATTTAAAAAAGAGTGCTGGGAGAGGCAGAGGCAGACAGAGTCCTAGTGAAGGAGGCGGGGAGGGACAGGCCTCCGGCCTGGGACACCTACCACCTCCATGACATGGGCGCTCCACTTGGATAAAAGCTGCAGGCCCCGCAGGGCCAGGTCGAAGAGCTCACGGTACTCCTCATCCGACTTCTGGCTGTCCAGCCCGGAGCCTGTCACCACCTGGAGAACACTGGCCGTCAGCCTCACTGATGCTTTTATACTTTATTTCACTCAAAAACACACCATATGAGAGGTGCTGTTATTAAACCCCCTTGACGAAGAAACTGAGGTATAGACAAGTAAGCGCCTTGCCGAGGCCGCACGGCTTGTGAATGGCTGAGGGTTCACACTCAGATGCTGTGATGCCAGTGCCCCACTCACAACCACCCCGGGATGTCACAGAGCAGCGGTCTCAAACTTTGTGAGTGCAATTTACAGGAGGAAATGCATACTATAGATTCAGGAACACATTCTTACCTAGAGATAGTAAATATATCCAGACATTTGTCACAAGGCAATTTGACTCTGAATACGCTGATTTCGCAACTCATTAATTAGGCATGACTCACTGATTGAAAAGCCCCAGTGAAGACAAACATCTACTTGATTGTGTGATGTTCCACAATGAAATATAACATGTATGTTTTCCTGTGCGTATGCATAGACATAATACATATATGTGTATATACATGTATGCATGCACACACACAAAAATATAGAGAGCAAGTCTTCATTATTTGTGGATTCTGTGTGAATTCGCCTACTCACTAAAATTTATTTATAACCTCAAAATCAATACTCCCAGCACCTTCACAGTCATTCATAGACATATGCAGAATGGTGAAAAATCTGGGTCACATTCTCAGCTGAGGGCGAACACCGTGATGCCCTGCCTTCTTGTTTCAGCTTTCATACTGCAAGCAACTGACCTCTTTGTGGTTTATTTAGTACCACATTTTTCATACTTTTGTACTTTTTACTGCTGATTTCCCTATTTAAAATGGCCCCAAGCCTAGTGTTCTGTCTCGTGTTCCTAATGCAAGAAGGCTACGAAGTGCCTTATGGAGAACACGTTTTAGATAAGGTTTGTGAGTTATAGTATCTTTAGCTGTGAGTTCAATGCTAATGAATCAACAATATATATGACATAAGATGTCTTTAAACAGAAAAGCACATAAAGCAAGGTTATGCACTGATCAGATGAAAAAAATGTTGTGACAGAGGCTCACAGGAACCTAACCCAGGAGTAATGGTTCAGTATTTGCTAAATCAGTGTTTGTGGCCACTTTACAGAACATAACTACTAAAAATAACGAGGGCTGTCTGTATATACACAGACTAAAGTGTACAATTTAAAAATAACTTTGAGCCAGACTCATTCTCAGACCAAAACTTGACAAAGAATAAAGGGGGCCTCTGCACTTAAATTACTCCCATAGCTTTAGTTCAATTGATTGGCACATATGATTTATAAAGCCACAAGCTTGATGCTTGACGCCTGTCTATGTCCACTGACCTAAAGACCACATCACCTGCATTTGTCTGATTGTCCTCATTTCAAATATGTTGCCCTTTGTTCAAAGGCATTTCTGAGCTTGGGTCTGGAAAGCATGAGCACTACCGCCACCAGCCACATAGTGGAAGCACTGAGCAAACACGGTAGCGTGCAGTCATCCAGGAGCGCCAGGTAATAAAGGAATTCAGAGGGCCTGTGTTAGTAACCCAACACACATATTTATTGGAAGGGTTCATATGGGAAGAGATTCAGAAGGACAGACACACCCAAATATTAATCACAGTTGGTCCCGGGTGGTAGGATTTTATGTGATTGATTTCTACTCTTTGTGCATATATGCATTTTTTCTAAGGTTTGAAAATTAATTCTGTCCCTAGCTATATTTTCTGGCTTGTTCAACAATCACTCGTTATTGTGCAGTTTAACAATATTTAGATGGTGTTTATGAGTATGAGTGTTCAGAACTCTGTTTCTCTTGCTATCGAGGGTAGAGACGGTTTGGATCACGTGCAGACAATTCTTAGTCTATTACCATCTGCTAGGTACCATATGGGTCAGAGATTGTTTAATCCTCTCAATGAACCTTTCTGGGTACTATTATTCTCATTTATCAGAGGAGGAAACCAAGGCATAGAGATGTTGAATAAGTTGCGATGGTCCAAGCGGAACCAGAATCAAACCCAGTTGTTCTTGGCCATCCTGTCCTCCTGCCTCCGATGTGTATTCCTCCCTCGCTCTTGCTCTCCATTATCCCTGTGATCGTTTCTTTCCTGGCGGGTCCCTGCCCCTTCTCACTCTGGGCCCACGTGGGCCTCCGTCCCAGCAGCCCGAGCAAGCTCACCTCACTGTTGCTGTAGCGAGCGAGTTCAGAGATGAAGCGGATGTGGTCATCCCGGATCTGAACCATCTGCTCGCAGATGTTGTACTGAGGGCTGATACTGCTCTGGGTGCACGTCCACCTGGGCAGAAAATCATAGGGTCGGAGAGGGTCCTGGCCTTGGGCGCCTGGTGGGACAGGCTCCTTCCACTTACTAGTTGCTCCTGGTGCCTAGACAAGGCGGCCAATCCCCTGGGTGGAACCAAGCGGTAACCCAGCCTGCTCACCCCATGCTGTGGGGACCGCAGGCTCAGTGGAAGAGCCCTTCCTCCTCCTCTAAGACCCACGCGCAGGCCTTTCCAGAGGTCTGATGTCCACAGTACTTACCAGTTAGAACGAGTGAGGAAGAACTGACAGCCTCTCGAGGGCTACAAAGGGCTGGAATTCGAGTAAAGAAAAAGCAAAATGGGCAGCCTCCCAAAATCTGTCTACTGACCCACTACACTGACACTCTGTGGTTGGAGCTGGCTTTGAAGGAGCCATGGGGAGGGACTGGGGAAACCTGAAGGGACAGTGCCTCTCCTCCAGCAGTGACCTGGCAACAGGGAAGCACTCCGTGGAGAGGGACGCCATGGGCACCCTGAGGGGCGCTGCGGGTTCACTTCCTTTCCACCCCTCTTCTTCCTCCCTCTTCCTTCCTTGTTTCTTGTCACTCTTTTTTGAAAGATATCAAAAAAGATGAAAAATCATCCTACACTAGAGAGGAAATGAACGAAAATCTTCATCCTCCTTCCCTAAGAGACAAAAGACAGCCTCTTTCTTTCACCCTCTTCTGCTCCCCAATTTAGGTGACCTGGTAGACAGACTAGAAACATGGCCACCACATAAGGCAGATAGCTGCTTGGGCAAGAACTGAATATTTTAAAAAGAGCGCTGACGCGGCCTTCATGAGAATACTCAGAAAGGTTATCGACTTCCTCATGCTTATACTTTGGCATCAGTTTTCAGTTAACTGTGTAGGCTTGGGGACGAGATCACTTGAAACTGACACCCCGCCCTGGCCATGTTACCACTCCCAACCAGCTTCAGGTGGTCAAGAAGTCATGCATAAAATGTGAGGAAATGAGCACAGTGTTCAACTCTACGGATTTCTGAGAAAATCTCTCTTACACGCCAGCAGCCACTGGGGTACGAAGGGACTAACCCAGCTTTCCTTGGCGAGACTCAGTCACAGGGGCTCAAGGCTGGTGAAGTTCAAGGACATTGTTTATGCATTTTTAAGACCTCACTCATGACTAAAGGATGGTCCAGCCCGCCCCACACTGCTATATGGAAAGGTCAAAGTCACTCAGCTTTGGGAGAGAAGCAGGCAGAAGAAACCTCCTAACAACTCCCGAGAGAAAGGCTGTTCCTGGATGTCCCCCAATTCCCATGAGGCACTAACACCCCAGATCTTAGCACAGATTCCCTAGGATGGTGGTTTCTAGGTGAGGCTGTCAACCCACTTCACGGTTGGAACTGCCCGAACCACACACTCCATGACGTGCTTACTGCACGGACATGAAACCTGAAGAGAGAATCAGGGCGATGAAGCAGGACACCATCTCGCTCCACCTGACCACGGAGGGCCAGCCCTTCCTCCCGCTTCTCAAGGAAGGGGGACTCCTGCTGTCCCGCTGTGGGCAGCGTGGCTCACGGCTGGGACGGAGAAGGGGCGTGGCCGTGCTCTGAGCACTTTTGAACCTTGGCGGCAAAGGGCAGATGCAAAAGGGCTCAGAGCGCCCGCCGCTGCTCCCCTCTGGAATCCACCTGCCCAGGGCTCTGGGGAGGGAGGAGGGGCTGAAGTGGCCCCTCAGCCCCCTGCCCGGGCTGGGCGTCCTCGTGGGAGCCGAGAGACATTACGGCAGGCACTCACTTGGACTTGTTCTCTTCATAGTGAGCACTGGTCTTAATGTATCTGGCCAGCTCTATCTGCATGTCGCCGAAAAGGGGCACCACCTGCAGCTGCTGCAAAGGAAGCAAACACAGCGCGTGAGAAGCCGAGGGGGACCTGGGCAGCGGCCTCCACGTGCCTCTGGGCCGACCCCCAGTTCTTGCTTCCGATGATGCTTCTGTGTGACCTTGGAACTGAGAAGAGCTCCAGCCAGCATACAGGTCCCCTGTCTTCCAGCAACTGAGCCCAGAGAGGCAAAGTGACTTGTCCAAGGTCACCCAGCAGGAAGATAGATAAAGGATGAGGAGCCGAGGGCTTGCCTCCCAGGGCAAGGTCCTCTTTGCTCTAATTTTCCTCCCATAAGAGGATCCTCGCTGCTTGGAACTCTGGACAAGGAGTGGGCACCTGGATGCTGCTAGCCGAGTGTGGCATTCCCGAGAAACTCCATGTGACATCATTGAAATCATTATACCTAACACCAGAGGGCAGACAAGTCCCAGCTGAAGACCAGGACCAATGCCTGAGGGGAAGCTGGCATTTCCTGCCCGCTTCTGATGCGCTCGGCACCGAGTGAGGCACTTCAGAACCAGAGGATTTTTAGGGCAGTGAAAGAAACTACTCTGTATAATGCCGTACGGAAGATACGCGTCATTCTACATTTGTCAAAACCCACAGAATGTACAAGGTCGTGAGTGATCCCTATCGTAAACTATGGACTTTGCGTGACGATGATGTGTCAGTGCAGGTTCATCCATTTTAACAAATGCACCCCTCTGCTGGGGGTGCTGATAATGGGAGAGACTATGCACAGAGTTGGGGGGGCAGGGAGCATGTGGGAAATCTCTGTGCTTTCTGCTCACGTTTGCTGTGAATCTAAAACTTCCTTAAAAAAAAAAAGTCTTAAAGAAAACAAAAAAATAGTATCTCAACCCATCCAATAACCCTGGGAGGTCAAGTCACTCCCATTTCACAGATGAAGAAAACGAAGCTTAGACAGCGTAACTGATTTCTTTTCACGAAGTAACACTGGCTAGAAGTCAAGGAGCCAGGCATATAAGCCTGACTCACCTGTGTGATCTCACCGAACTCTCAGGGGAACCCCATAGAGTAGATACAATGAGCATTCATATGAGGCTGGGGAACTCGGTTTCACAGGTGTTGTGACTGTCCCAGTTATCCAGCTACTAAGTGGCAGGGCCAGTCTAAGACCCAGGCCCCTCTGAAGTGAGGCAGTGTTCTTCCGCTTCACCCCATCTCATCATGCTGATGAAGGCAGAAGCAGATTTTACAAGGTTCTCCTTGTTTTCATTTGGGGCAGCTCTGAAGAAAAGTGAGAGTTTCAGCCTTGAAAAGAAGCCAAGCCACAGGATGTCTTTTGGTGACTTATTTCCCTTTAACCTCAAAGAGTTGGTGAGACCCAGGCCCAGTCTCGTGTCCCCCACGCCATACTTTTGAGGGAGTCCACTTTTAATGTTAAGCTTGGCTTCTCCACATCTGACTTCCCAGGCTCACTCCAGGCCTGCAGTGCCCAACTCTAGAATCAACTGACAACATGGAATTCAACTCCAAAGTAGGAAAGTCCTTGGCAAAAACCTCAAAGGCTTAACTTAACTGCAAGGTTTTATTTTGAAAGATTTGGGGCCAGAAGATGAAATGTCTGGGGCACATGGATGCCATGAACCATTCTGCCCAGACGCAGACACCAGCTGAAGTGGCCTCTGGTGGGCTGGGCTGGAGGCAGTGATTTTGCAAAAGTCAGTCATTTTAAAATCCAGTCTTTAATCCTTCTGCTTCTGTGAGCTCTCATTTACACTAAAAATTAAAGCAGGCACTGTCTTCTAGGATGTGCCTCTTCCTTTAGATGGCAAGGGATTTCAGGAAAGGGAAAAGGCAGTATGCAAAAAGAATCATAAGGCCTCCCAGCTGAATCTGGAGAGTAGGGAGCATGTTTGCTTTTCACAGGGCTGCCTTCTGCCAAGGTGGCTGGAGGCCCTGCCACTCTAGTCCCCCTGCTCCTCCTCTGGGTCTCTAGAGCTACACCCCAATCAACAAGGCCCACATGTGCTGGCTAACTTCATTCCTGTCTCCTGAGAGACCATCCCAGCCCCTGGCCCCTGTCCAGCCCCAGCCCCAGCCTCAGACGCTGACCTTAAAGAATTTATCGATTTTGCTGAGGTTGATTCTCTTCTTGGCATCCAGTTTGTAAATGTTACTGACATTTCCATCCATCAGGTAGAGACCAAAACCCATTACCTGGAGTGAGAAGGGTCAGAGCACAGAAGCCAGTGACATCCATTGGAAAAGTTTCAAAAAACCAAAAAAAAAGTAGGTCAGTGGGCATGCATGCATGCATACGTGCACACACACACACACACCCTGTAGCTGCACAGTCTATTACAAAAACTCATATATCTTCAAATAAAGAAAGAACACATACGTCTAATTTCAACCAAAAATTGGATTTCTATAAAGAAATACAGATGGCCCTTTAGCAAATTACAGCGGCCACTTATTACTATGGGCTCATCTGTGTTTAGGGCTTTAAAAAAATTATCCATAATTCTCACAACAATCTTATAAGTCAAGTTCTATACAATATCTTTACTCTATAGAGGAGGAACTGGAGACACAGAGAGGTTAGACAGCTTGCCAGTACCACACAGCTAGTGAGCTGCAGACAGAATCTGAACTTGGATCTGATAATATCATCGTTGATGCATTTAGATCCCTCTAGGGAGAAAGGACTGAGCTGTGCTATTGCTGCACCCCTGGGATCTAGCACATTACAGGCACCTGATGAATACTTGCTAAATGCTGAACAAATGTAAAACTATTCACCTCTTTCCTAAGTAAAGATTCGGGAGGAGCCATCGGAGACTCTTTAAAAAAATACATTTTTTTTTTTTTGCCTGACAGTGCCCGATAAGCAGGTCGACAGGCTCATAATTCTTGATGTTCCAGTCCATTTAATAGTTTCCTGAATGCTGGCTTGTTTTGCTCCTTTAGTCGAACGTACAGGGAGCCTGAACAACGAGGCTGAAAGCAGCTTTCCTTGGCTCACAGCTGCTATGTGACCATGAGTAAATCACATCTGACATATAAGGAAGTGAACTCGAGGACTGTTAAGGTCACTTCTTTAGTTGCATTTTGTGGTTCTGCAGCATGTGTGCCAGACTTTTCTGATAAGAGTGAACACCACCCCCTGGTGGCCTCTGCATTCACTAACACAAACTGCGGAGACATGAAATCGCAGAAGAGTGCTGGGGCCAGACTGAAGCTGAGGTGTCTAAGGGTGAAAGGCAGGTGAGAGAAAAGGCGGGCCCGAGAATCTGATGGCAGCCTCGAGGATGCCTGGTGGACTGGAAACTGGCAACCTAGTCGCTGAAGCAGCGATTCTGGGGAGAGTCACAATAATTGCCCGGGCACAGCACTGGGGGTGAGAGGCTGCTGGACGCAGGGCGACTTCTCTGGATTTCTGACTGTGCAGAGGAAGCCAGAGTGAACAAGTCACAAGGCCACACCGCCCTGCAAACGCCATTGAGGTGCTATGGAAGTGTAAAGACCGGGACACAAACAGGGCCGGGATGCTCAGAATAACAAGTGACTTGGAGGAGAGATGGAGAAAAAGTAGAACCACCAGGAGCACTTTGAAAGGTGAGATGCTGGGGAAGGAAGAATCAAAAGGGGCTACGCAGTGTGGATATAAAGAACGTGCAGAAAGCTGTTCATCTCAGTGCTACAGCCGTTAGAGAGAAGTCATCAACGTCCTAAGCAGCTAACAGGAGAATAATGGCTCAAAAAATGAAAGCTCATCCATACGACATTATTTAACAGCTGCATAATATTCCAATACATTTAATGAAATGGGGTAAAAGTCACACGCACATAATTTATGTGTATTGTATATGTTGACTATATAAGCAGAGAAAAAAATGAGACAGAAATACATCAAATGCTAAAAGGGTTATTCTGAATGGAGTTTTAGAGATTAAATTTTTTGGTGCCTTTCTGTATATTTCAGATCTTCTACAATAATAAATATTACTTGACAATTTAAAGGTGAAACTTGTAAACTGATGAATCAAATGTGACCATTTTGGCAAAACAGAGCAAAAGCTTGAAGATTTTGCCTTCCCTTTGAGTCAGCAACTTCTCGCCCAGGAAGTTTGACTTGCTAAGAGTATGTACACAAAGGCTGTGCTGCAGGAATATTCAGTGCAGGTTAGCAAATATCCAACAATAGGGGATCCGTTAAATAACACTGTCCCCATACAATGGACGACAGAGCAGTCATTAAAAATGACATCGCAGAAATACCCTTAATGATGTCTGGAAAGATGTGTATGACATAGTCAAGGAAAAAAAAAATAAGTTGCAAAACATTGCAGGCAGGAAGATCTGTATCAATTTTTAAGTAAGAAAAAGAAATACTGCTCTTTATAAATGGTTTTAAATGAGAAGGAGGTGACTGTGGGAGCTGTACCTTGAGGAGCATGTGCTTCTCACTGGGGGTCAGATACATCTTGTTCTCATAGTAATCCACGCAGATGTTGACAATGTCGGCCAGCAGCTCCTCGTAGCCGGGGATCACTTCCAGTTGCTGATGGAGACACTAAACAGCCCCGCCCTCCGGTCAGCCCCTCTCCCGCACCCTTCTCACCCATACCCCGAGGAAGGCCCGCAGCTAGGCGGCAGGCTGTGTGCACCTCCCACCTCCCCCGGGACCACTGGGGGACACAGAGCCCATGTCATCGCCTCAGTGTCCCCATGGTGGTTGGTCAGAGCTCCTGTACCTCTCCCATGGCAGGGAATTCCCTCCCCGCGGCAGTTCTGATGGTTAGAAAATGCTTTCAGCTCTACAACTGGCCTACAGTCAGCTCGGCGTGGTTCTGAGGGTGTGGACTTAGCCAAGCCAGCTCCGCAGAGGCGGTGGGAAGCCCCAGCCTGGTGGTGGAGAGCTGGGCCGGCAGGCATCTCCTTCCCAGCAGGAAAGAGCAGCATGGAAACACTCCCGTAAAAGAGGGTCTGAGGTCTCCGCCTCAGGCCCTTTCTCTCCAAAGAGACAAATTGCCCCCTGATGGGCATCCAGTGGAAGGCATCATTGGTGCTTTCCACTGACAGCATGGGCTGCGTCTCCCTCCGGGAAAGAAACCTGGAACCTCAAGGCTGACAGCCTTTTGCGTCGAACAGAGAGCAGGGAGGGCCCCGTGAAACCCGCAGCGTCCCTCAGGGGTGTGAACCTAAAAACGCTTCAAAGGTCGAGGGCCCCTCTCAGCCTGGGTCTTGCTGACTTTCTTGCTGGTGCCTGTTTAGGTCGAATTGACGAATGAGCAAGACGAGTTATCTTAAGTCAGGCAGAGCAAGAGATCCACAGCCGAATGGGGGCGCCCTGGCCAAGCGGTGGCAGCAGGAACAGCGACAGCTTCTTATGCCCTTGCCGTTTGTCGGGCTCTGTGTACCGAGGGCTTTTTATACAGTGTCTCATTTATCTCTCACAACAGTCCTATGAAATAGATTCTCATAATATTCTCAAAATAACAGCCTTATTCTACAGACGAGGAAACTGAGGTTTAGACCTTGCCCAACGTCTCACAATGGGTCAGTGGAGGCTCCAGGATTAGAAAAGAAAGGCATCTGACCCCGGAACCCATGCTCTGAGTCTATGCCAATGCTGGGACAGAATACTGGCTGAGGAGGCTTTCAGGGAACAAAATCTGGGGAGAGTGAAAGGGTCCTCTGTGCTTGGGACGGGGGGACTTAAGTCTGCAGCTTAATTCTTGAGTAGGGCAGTGGGGGTGTTAGATCTGGACTAAGATCCTATGCTCAAGTCCACCTGCCTGTGGCCCTCTAGACCTGGGACGCCGAGCAGAGACCAACGAGGAGTTTGCCATCACCTGGGTGATCCTGTTGTGGTTGGCCAGGAACATGGAAAGGTTCTGTGACTCCTGGATAGACTGGGGATCCGCCATCTTCCTTAAGAACTGTGCGGCCCTGAAATACAGGTGTTGCAGAGAGAAACGCTCAAGCACAGTAGCCCAAACCAGGCCCCGTGGGCTCCCGCTGCCCCCCACCGAGTCACACTGTCTCCTATCACAGGTGACTCCAACGTCAAGGGAGAGTATGTTCTGGAGTCATTTCATCTGGAGCTGTTTAGACCCTTGTGACAAGGGCACCTGAAATTAAGAGGCAAGAATGCACCGAAGCTCAATCTCCAAGTTCAAGGGCAGCTAGCATCGTCTGGACCAGCCAGAGGTGGTAAGATAGAGTGAAACAAGCATCCTTGGGCCTCCCAGTGACCTCCAGTGAAACCGCACATGGAGACGTCATGGAGAAGAACCACAGGCAGGCTATTATGTTCTTTATAGAAAAACTTCAATGTTTCTAAAGCAAAGCATCGCACAGAAAAGAAAAGTCTTGTTATTTAACAGGTGAAGGAACAATGGGCTTGAGGAACCCATGCGGGACTTGAAGGGAAAAAACTCCGGGGGCCCAGATTTTCCAGCCTGACCTGGTAGCAATGCAGCCTTTGTCATGACTATGACGACACAGACGAGACACCTGCCTTATTCATGACCCTAGCCGGTCCATCTTGGTTGCGACCACAATGGAAGGAGTTGGCCAAACTGGGGAGAAACTGGGGGAAGATATATTATGGGCTGTCTGTGACATCTTTGTGAAAGGTGCCATTTCTAATTCAGGCGTGAGATGGGGCTCTGGCTGCTGGGCACCCCCAGATTTCACACTTCATTCAGGTGGATAATATTTTGAGAATCAGTCTCTTGTCTGCTTTCTCTGGTTACCTCGGAGCCCCAGGACAAGGTGGTTCAAGGAGGAGGGGCCCTTGCATCAGTGACACAGAAAATCCTTCCCAAGATGTGTGTCCAGACAACACAGAGGAAATCTGTTGATTTTGACTGCCCTCCTCACACCCCACTAGGAGTGGCTACACCCTAATTTCTGGAGAGGAATGACCCCTTCCCACTCTCAGTCCTTCTTTTTGACACTGACCGCCCACAAGTGAGCACCTGTCCAATCGGAGTCCTCACCCACCACAGTGACTGATGGAAGAGTTAGCACATGACCAAGTTGGAGCGATGACAACCCTCCTGGGGACTTCTGCAAAAGCGTCTGCAAGGAGGAGCATCCCTTCCCTCATTTGGGGTGGGGGTGGCTGCGCTGGCTGGAGGGAAGCTGAAAGCTGCTGGAGCCCGCACGGGGCACGCGCCCACCTGAGAACGAGCTGCTATCGAGGCAAGTTGAGCTGAGAGGTAGACAGAACCAGACCAATATCACCTGAGTACCTGGATTCAGGTACATGGGGACCTTCCAGTTCTAGGAGCCAGTCCAGCTCCTTCTTTCCCAGAAGCAGTCGGAGTTGGCTTTACTTCTTACAGATGACTAATGTGACCATTTTATGATATCTTACTGGTCCCATACTGCATGGGACGACAGAAAATGCTGCTGCTCCATGGGTAGGGGAAATGAGGATTTAACTCTATCGTGAGACAGAAAACCCTGCACAGACCCAGTTCTCCAAAGACCCAGCTTTGCATCACGTCATATTCCTCAAACCACAAAGACAGATAGATCCAGGCCCATTCCCTGTGTGCTTGGGGAGTGGCTACTTTGGCTCTGGGGAAGGAGCCTGTTAGAAGGTCTCCACCCTCGTTTTCCCCTTGGCTGGCTACCCAGGAAGAGGGGAGCGGGGAAGGGCGCCTGACCTCTTGTAGGCAGAGTGGTCGTTCTTGACGCTGCACTTCATATTCTTCAGCTCGTCCAAGACTGCGAACATGTTGATGAACTTGCCCAGGGTCAGGAGGTAGGCCTCAGAGACGAAGTCCTTCCTACGCTCAGCATGGCACAGCCGCTTCACCTCACTGCAGAACCGCTCGATGGCCTTGCGCTGCAGGCAGAGGGGTGGCGAGTCAGGATGTGGCAGCCCGGTAGGGCAGCTCACTGCAACGCTCAGGTGGGGAGCAAGGTTGACATCCCCTGGGGCCCTGCTCAGAGCCTGGACATTCAGAGAAAGGCCAATCTGCCAGGAGGTCTCTCCCAAAGGTGTCCCTAAACCCAAAGCTGACTTCTGGAGGGAAGCCTGGGACCTTCCCCCATGGGAGTCAGACCAATGAATTCATTCACCACGCCTTTGCTGAGAAACATGTGTTATTCACTCTCACATCCGGGCACCTGGGATAGTGCCAGGTACCACACCACTAGGTGTAGAGACCCAGAGACAGAGACAGGAGCAGGGAGAGGAGGAGAGGAGGGGAGAGATATTACTCCTTATACGAGCTCCAACCACGCCTGCGGCCCGGGAAGCCCAACTCGCCAGTCATTTGTCTCCTTCAAAGACCAGACCGAGCCAGGCTTCCTTCTTCTGGGGTCTAAATCCAACAAAGCTTTTGGCGATGGTGGAGATGTTCTACGTGTGCACCATCCAGGACGAGAGCCACCTGTCACATGTGGCTACTGAGCACCTAAAATGGCTAGTGCAACAGAGGGACTGAATTTTAAATTTCATTTAATCTTACTTAACGTAAATACCCGCATGGGGCTACTGTGCTGGATAGCATAATTCTAGATAATTCCAGATCCTCCATTCTCACCAGGAGGCCCTCAAGTCAGCACTTAATCAGCTTCTGGATAGGTTTTCTCTCTTGGATCTGCCTTCCCAAGAGATTTTAGGCTCCCTGAAGGCAGGTCCGCGATGCTAGTGACAGCAGATTAATGTGGTAAACCCACTCTGTGACTAGGACTCTACCTGGCTCTTTACAGACAGACCTCATTTATCCTCCCCACTAAAGGTGTCCGAGATGCTCTGTAACTCGCAGGCATGCAGTTACAATGCGGCAGGACTGTGGGTTTCTCTGCCCCTGATGCAGGTGCTCCTGCCCTGGGCTGCATGCATTGCCTGCTCCTGGAGGCCAGCGCACAGCAGGCCGCAGGGCGGACATTGGGCCAGTGCCTGGAAGTCTTATTTATGAAGCTCCGCTCTCCAGGGGAGCTCATGGGGGACAGAGGATGTGGCATGACTCCCACGCAGGGGTGAGAGCTGGTCTTAAAGTGTTCAACCTGTATTCCTGAACAGCTTCCGACATAAGCGTGATAATCCACCGGTTTGCGTGACTTTTTTTTTTGTCATTTCTATTTAACCTGCTTGCCCACTTATCTTCCGCTCACCGAAGCCCTTGGCTGTCTTTTCTCTTTTCCTCCTTTAAACGATCACTCTTCCTGGCATCCCAACTGGTCTCTCTGCTGTCACTTCCTCCCTGCCCCCCACTTCACATCTCTACTGCCCCCACCTCCCATCCGTTTTCCACAGATGTTGTTGTAAAACCTCAAATCAGACCGCATCGCTAAAACCTTCAGTGGCTTCTATGGAGCTTGAATAAAAGCCACGTATTCTTTTCGTGACCTACTTCATGGCCTACAGTACCCTACCTTACTAGGTCCCTGGGTCCCTCTCGAAACTCAGCTTTCATCGTCCCCCTCCTCATTCTGCAGCCCCCCCCCGTCTTCATTGTTTCTTAAACACGTCGTGCCCCTTCGGGGCTCAGGGCCTTCGTCTCTGCAGCTCCTTCTGGCCGAAAGGCTCTTCCTCCAAATCCTCACATGCCAGCCTCTTTCTCATCATACAGATCTCGGCTCAAAAGTCACCTCCTAAGAGGCCGTCCCTAAAGTTGCACCCATGTCACAGACACCCTCCATCCCAGAGATTTTTGAAATTTATTTTACTCACGGGACATATTATGCCCTGAAAACTGTTGCGTGTTGCTTATTGTCAGTCTCTCCTCCTTCCCAGAACATACTCATACGCTCATTAGGTGCAAACTACGTGGAGGGAGGGGGCCTTTTCCGTCTTGCTCACTCAGGGGTCTGTGAGGGGCACTCAAAAAGTATTTGCCAAATGAATAAACATGACTCAAAAATCCAGACTCCGGTGTCTAGAAGAGCGGGGGCCTCCTCAAGCTCCTGACCCCTCACCTGAAAGTACATGAACTTCATGAGCTTGGTGACCTCTGGCTCCAGCACCTCCACCGTCTTCTCATAGATCTCCACACGGTTGGGCTGCTCGTTGCATTTCACCTGTGGGGAGAGGGGGTTTTGGACATCCCGACTTGCCCAGGCAGTCCTGGTTCACGCCTGTTGTCTTATTATTAATAGGACCCCTTTTCACATCTAGGATGATAAATGATACGGTCACCCTAGTGAGAGGAGGTGGGGGCAGCCCCATCCGACGGGTCTAACTGGGGGCAGAACTGCTCCTAAGACATTGGCTGCAGGAAAGAAACCAGGTGGTCCCAAGAACAGAACCGTCCTCCCCTTCAGTCTGCTCTGGGCCCTGACCAGGAGTTGATCTGCAAGGTCTCGCTCCCTCAGCTTTTCCCCCACTCCAACTCCAGGAGGGCCCTGTCAGATTCTAAGCAGAGAAAAATGCTCTGTCCACTGCTCTGGATGCACTTGGGGTAAAGTTCCCTGGCCATATTCGGGTCCATTAAGAAACCCATTTTCTCTGCCCGGTGGGTTTCAGCCCATCAGAATCATATGGCAGATATTTTCACAGCATGCACACTTAAGACTGCTAACAGGGTTACTGAAACTGACGAGTAAGAGAAGGGTAAGCACAACGACATTCTTCACGCTGTTGGTCAGGAATTCTTAAAACAGTAGTAACAAGATCGATGTCCACCAGCCCACGGTTAAACGGATAAAATATGATGCATTCCTTCAACATCGTTACATCACTGTTAGAGGGAATGGGACATGGGAAGTGCCATGGAGAGACTGCTACTGTAAACTGACAGATGGAAACAACTGGAGGACGATAAGTGTAATTTAATCCCATTTTTGTTAAACAAAACACAGAACAAACCTGTGTGTGTTTGTATATCTGTATACAACACAGGCAGAGAAAATCTGAAAGGATACAGACCAAACTGTTAAGTCGTTACTTCTGGGGGCTAGGATTAGAGGAAGGGAGAGGAACGGTTTCTCTTTATATATCTGTTTCTCTTTATACATTTTCTAAAATGGGACTCATGAATTACAGCATGATGATGGTGATGGGAATATAATATTTCTATGTGTCAACATGGAAAAATGTCAGTAATAAAGACTAAAGTGTAAAAAAAACAAGTAGCAGAATATAAATAAGAAACACTACACTTTTATAAACAGTAATAATTTACAAAATCATCATCATAGGAATATTCATGATATTCAAGGAAAAAGATCCAAACGAATAGGCAGCAAAATGTCTACAGAGATTACGTTCTGTTGGGAAGTGGGTTTGGGCGCTGGGGGTGAGGAGGTAGGGATGCTTCGCTTTGTACTTTATGCCTTTCTGCAGTGGTTTGGGTGTTGTCTACAGTTATATACTGCCTTTGAAATAAAACACATCGGACAAATATTTGTTAAGTTGGTGTCAGTTTTATGGAAAGCTCTCCGAATGTCTTCAGCATGTCCCCTTGGATAAGAGGCCTCACTCATGCCCTGTCCCCTGGGAGGGCTCAGCTCTAAGGATGAGGGCGAAGTGGAAGCTGTCAGTCCCAGGAGGCAGGAGAGCCACCCGGCAAGCACAGTCTCACCTGGGGGATGGCCCGGGAACAGCTGCGCCAGGTGTACAGCATAACTGCATACTCGTGTCCTTCCTCTAGCATTTCATTCTGAAAAGCAAAACACGCACATCAGGGAGACTGCTCTGGTGCCACAAGGCTTCTCAATAGCACCAGAATCCTCACTACTCCATGTGGTCTGTGAACCAGCAGCATCACCATCACCTGCGGGGCTCATTAGAAACGCAGAGTCTCGGGCCCCTCCTTGGCCTAGGGAATTAGAATCTGCATTTCAATAACATTCCCAGGTGACTCACACTCCCAGGCGCACAATAAGTTTGACTGACACCCAAGGGCTCTCTGTATAAACAGGACACATTTTACAAAGATGGATGGCCACCTTAGAAAGGAGGCAGATCTATTTGTTCCAACAGCAAAAGTTGTCCCAGATATACTGTCTGTAAGAAAACAAGCAAGTAATAAAACAGTATGTACAGCAGATCAGTTACAAAACCAAACAAGGAGTAATAATTATAAAAGTATATTATGTCTATTGAAAAATATTTGGGTGGAATATGTACCATGCTATGACTAGAAGCAATCTGTGGAGCTGGATGAACAGGAGCTTTCACTTTTCCTATCATATAGTATGACAGTCTGCACTTTTTATAAGAGCCTATGTTACTATTTCATAAGCAGGAAAATGATGAAGATCAATTTTTAAAAATAATACAGAGCAGATGGCAAAACCAACAATAGCATGGAAAATGAATCTGAAAAATCCAGTGATGACTCACCTCACCTCGCTACTCACAGTGCTACTGTGGACAGTCCTAAACCCGGGGTCCAAATATCGGGCTCGAATCTCAGCTTTGCCTACCCTTGGCCTTTTGGCCTTTGGGAAATCACTGAACTTAAGGTTCTCCATTTAGTGACAATGACAATAATGACCTCAGATAATTTCGTGAGAACTAAATGGAATATATACACACACACTCCAGGTAACCTATCAAGGGAGTTAAGAGTCTTACTAGGAAAAAGATAGGCCGGAAGTCTCTCAAAAAGGTAAACACAGAGTTACCATAGGACCCAGCAATTCCACTCCTACGGGGATAAGCCCGAGAGAAATGAAAATGTGGGTCCACACAGAAACATATACACTCGATCACAGCAGTTATTATTCTAATAGCCAAAAAGTAGAAACAACCCAAATGCTCACCAGCTGATGAACAGATAAATCATTGCGGTCTAGCCATCCAACGGAATCGTATTCATCTATAAAAGGAATGACTTGCTGACACGTGTTACAACATGGATGAACTTTGAAAACATGATGCCAAGTGAAAGAAGCCAGATACAAAAGGCCATATACTGTAGGATCCACTTAAATGACATGTTCAGAATCAACAAATCCACGGAAACAGGAAGTAGATTAGTGTTTTCCAGGAGATGGGAAGAGAGAGGACTCGGGAGTGACTGCTAACAGATTTGGGGTCTCTTTCTGTGGTGACGAATATTAGATAGTGGTGATGGTTGCCTAACACTGTGAATGTGTTAAAAACAAAACACTGAAGTGTGTGCTTTAAATGATGAGTTTTATGTTATATGAAGGATATTTCAAAAATACAGTAAAAAAGAGTATTACTAGACCATCTCTTTTGTAAATGTTTGTACTGATTCAAAAATGCATCTTTACTGATTTATTTTTTATTCCACATAACATCTATTTCATAATAACTTCCTAGTACAAGATCAAATTTAATTCGAAGTTTATTCCGTTTTACAGTTTTCAGCAGCAAATGCCACTGACTAGCTGCACTTTCAATCAATACTTTTTAAATCAGTAACAAGGTGTCCTTGAGATGACAGAGAACTGGAATGAAGCCTGTGGGTCTCCTGCTGCTGCTGCTTCAGAACACATGTCAAAAAAGGGAAGTGGCAGTAACTTAGGGAACATGTATCTGCTGTCAGCACCCAAACTGTAGGTATGAGTATCCCAGCTCCCTCATTCAGTGAATGCTTTACTGAGCACTCAGGGGTCCCAGGCGTGGTGCTGTTTGCTGGGAATAGAATGCTAGGGGCTCTGCCCCATGGATAGCTGACCATCAACCAGAGTTGTGGTATAATTATGCCTGGAATATAGAGGTCAGGATGGTGTGGTGGAGACAGCCCTGGGTGAGGCCACGGGAGACCTGAGTTCTAATCCTGGCTCTGCTTGGGCCCATCTTTTACATTGACTATGTCATGGTTTTCTCATTTGGGATAAAGAGTTGGCCAAAATCACTGGTTCTCAACCCTGACTGCATGTTAGTCACCTGGGGAACTTTGAAAACTCCGGAGGCCCAGGCCAGGGCCCTCCTAAACTAAATCATTATCCTCAGGGAAGAGGCCCAGGCATCAGTATTTTTTTAATGTCCTCCAGGTGAATGAATCCAACGTGTAGCCCAGGTGGACAGCTGGAGGACTAAGGATCTCTAAAATCCTTTCTATCTGTAAGATTCTTTAAGTCCATGACTTAAAGTCAATGTGAGGTCAGCTCGAATTTCAGGGCTGGTGGTGACAGACTGCACCTCTCAGCACTTACTTTGGACACTCGGCTCCCATCTCACCCCCAGCAAAGAACCTTTTACTGTTCCATGTAGCTGGTCAAGTACAAGGTTAACACATATCCTCCAACTCCTCCTCTTTTTTTCTGGCTATCCTGCCCTTTGAAAGATTCACCTTGCCCAAGTGTGGGCAGGAGCAATCAAGAAGGCGAGCATCTAATGAAGACACTTTGCCACTGATAAGCGACTCTAGAGAAAGAAAGGTACAAGGTGAAAATTGTTGAAGGAGGTGAGGTTTTGGCATGATTCGTGAATGTCAACAGTATACCCGATTCTTAACCCATCTAAACCATATCAACGCTATCCCTGTTTTGGCAGAATAACGGCCCCACAAAGATGCCCACATCCCCAGAACCTGTGAATATAATCCTTTCATGGCAAAAGAGACTTTGCAGATGTCATTAAGTTAGGAACCTTGAGATTGGGAGGTTACTCTGGATTTATCTGGTGGACCTAAGGTAATGACAAAGACCTTAATAAGAGAAAGAGGGAGGCAGGAGAGAGTCAGGGAAGGTAGGTGAAGAAGGAAGCAGAGGTGGAAGAGATGAGACTGTGGGCTGGAAGGGGGCTGAGCCACGGAATGTGGGCAGGAAACAGATTCTTCTCTAGAATCTCCAGAAAGGCAGAAAGGAAGGCAGCCCTGCCAACACTTTGATTTTAACCCCGTACGACCTATGTCAGACTTCTGACCAAAAGAACTGTAAGCAAATAAATCTGTGTTGTTTAGGCCACTAGGTTTGTGAAAATTTGTGACAGCAGCAATAGAAAACTCGTACAATCCCCCTCTGCCCCAGCACCCAGTTGATTGGCAAATGGGTGGACTTAACCTCCAGTGTCTCTCATATCCATTCCCTTGGCCATCCCTCATGCCATCGCCTTTATTTGGCTTTTAATACTTCCAATGTAGATAACTTTATCCTGATGGATTTGTCACCTCACAACTCATTCTGCACATAACTAACAAAGGAAACTATTCCTCAGGCAGAGTTCTGTTCACATTTCTCCCATGGATAAACATTTTCCATTGCTTTTGATTCTTTATTAAATGAATTAAAGCCCTCTGTTATGAGCTGAATTGTGTCCCCCCACCCTGCCCCCAAATTCATATGTTGAAGGCCTAATCCCCAGTGCTTCAGAATGGAACTATATTTGGAGACAGGGACTTTAAAGAGATGATTAAGTTGAAATGAGGCCATTAGGGTAGGACCTGATCCAATCTGACTGGTGTCCTTTTAAGAAGAGGAAATCTGACATACAGAGAGACACCACATACGTGCATGCACACAGAAAAAAGACCACGTGAGGACACAGTGAGAAGGTGGCCACCTGCAAGCCAATGACAGAGCCCTGACAGAAACCAACTCTGCTGGCACCTTGATATTGGACTTCTAGTGTCCAGAACTGTGAGAAAATCAGTTTGTTACTACGCCACCCAGCCTGTGGTATTTTGTTATGGCAGCTCTATCAGACTAATGCCCTCTATGCACTGACCCTCATGTAATTTTCCGTACATACCACAGAGAATTTCCCTGTATTTACCTTACAGTGCAAATCCAGGCAGTCTCTGAAAATTTTTGCCTCTGTGCCTTTGCTCCTGCTGGTTCCACCAGCTGGCATGCACTCCCCATCTCATCTTTGATGGATAAAATTCTAAATTCGTGGGACAGCAGAGTTCAGTGGAAAAAGGTCAGGCCTGGGAAGCAGAAGTCCTGGACTCCGGGTTTGACCCTGTGATTCACTAGCTGTGAGATCATGGACAACTCATTAACTTCTCTAGGTTTCATTTTCTCATCCCTAAAATGGGTATAATGATGTCTATTGCAAGTCACAGGGCTGTTATAAGGCTCTAATGATATCATGTATGAGAATACCTTATGCATTTTAAAGTACCATACAAATGGTGAAAATGCATGTGTGTGTGTATATGTGTATATGCGCCAACACATTATAACATTATATATAGTATACAAGGACCTACTCAAAAGCCACTTCCTTCATTATGCTTTCTCTGACCTTCTCAAGGCCCCTTCAAAAACACAGAGCTTTAAACTTCTACCATGTCATTTATCTTCAATTTTATGCATTTTTATTTGTCTGCAAAGAATAGGCTAGAGCACAGGTTTTATACTCAGACAGACCTGGGTTTAGCTCTGTCACTTGTCAGCAGTAGGACCCCAAGTAACTTAATTTTTCTGGACTTCAATTATCCCCATCTGTAAAATGGGGAAAATAGAACCTACTTCATGGGATTGAGATGAGGACTAATTGAGACAATGCATTTAAAAAATCTGCACAGAAAGTATTCGATAAATGGTAAGCTTGTCTATTTCCCACTTGACTCACTGAGAATCAAGACTGGCCCCTATTTGTCCTTGTATAGCTCCTGCTCCAGCATTTAGTACAGGTACCAGGTATACACCATTTATTGAAAGAATGGGCACAGTATGGTAAGACAATGTTTTCGAATATAACTGATATAGTGAGAAAGGAGCCTCAGGCAGAGCCTGTGAATAAGGAATCTGGAATTCTGCAAATTTCAGTGCTGCATGAAAATAAAATCAATGAAAACTCAAGAGGGAAGGGGTAATCCCTCACAGATGGGTCAGACACCCGACCTATCAGAGAGCTGGCCCTGCTTGTGACTGATTTAGGCCACTGGCTTCCTCCAGTCAACACGTTATTCCAAAGCCGCCGTCCCTTTTTTTGAGAAACTTTTGCTTTGCTCAAGAGACAAAATTCTACCTAGCCGGTAATCTATAAAATATAAGACAAGGCGGGATCTAATCACATGTTAAGCCAAAAGGCTATAGAAGCTCAAGGAAGTGAATAGTGGGGATAAAGCTGGGTCCTAAAGGTGAGAAAGTGAATAGAATTTGCAGAGCTGGAGGATATACAGGGACAGTATCTTCCCCAGGCACTGAGAGGGAAAGGGGCAGGCATGAGAATGGGCTTAAGGAGGTGGGTCTGACTGAGGCAGGGGGTTCTTGGAACAGCTGAGCACATGCCCACAGCACCTCCCACCCTGGCAAGGTCACAGAGACTTACCATGCTGGAGTGGACTGTAGCCTGCTCAATGTACCTTGCAATGCCTGTGACAAATGCATTCCTGTCCTCGAAGTTTGTGTCAAAGTTAGCCTGTGGAGATTAAAGGACAGGAACATTGGTTGTTAGAAAACAGGTCCAAGGTGGCTGGCGGTCCAGGCAACAAACCGCTGCCTGCACGTGCCACAGACTTTCTGTGGAAACCTGTGTCCACTTCGCTCTCTCATCTCTTCCCCAGAATCTCACCCTGGACCACGCTGGGCAGGAGCTGTCCACAGACAGGTTGTTCATCAAGTTCACTCAGTCGACCCCTGGAAGTAAATGCTTACACTCTACAAGCCTAAGTAGCTGTTAAAAGTTAAGATGTGCATTGCTTTCATCCAGCAGTTACAAAAACACTTCCCTGGAGGTGCAGATATGTATGTACAAGGAAAATAGCTGTAGCATTTTTTGCAATAGAAAAAAAAATGGAAACCAGATAAATAATCATTAACTGCTAAATAAATGATAGTATATCCATACAATGGACTTATTCATACTATGTGGTAGTTAAGAATGATGTGGTCAGGAAAAAATATCCATAATGAATTCTAAGTTAAGAAAGCCAAATCGTAGAGCAATATATAAATAGTGTGATTCCTTTTTGGTATATTAAAAATATATACATATATTTGGTAAAAAGGGGTGTGTGGGTACATATAGGTATAGTTACAGGGAAATTTTTATTTGTTATACTTTTTTGTATTGCTTGTAATAAAATAAGATATTTATGCAATTAAAAATCTAATCTGGGTTAGAAAATGTGAATAAACCAAGTTTATGAGTTGAACCTTCAGGCATGTGCTTAATAAAGCTAACCACTAAATAAAATTAAAAATATATTATGCATTTATATTTAGTCTCATTTAGCAGTCCAAGAACTTTCAAAAGGTCAAATATAGTTAAGAATTTCAAATTAAGAAGATTCTTTCTTAACATGGCATACTTGCCCGGCACGCCCAGACTATGGGCTATTTGCAGGGCGGACTCCAGCTGCATCGATGCCCTTCCCACCACATCCTGGCGGGATCATGGTTTTGAGCAATCTGATCATAGTTTATCACAAGTTCAACTCTCTCAGGCAGAAGCAAATAACTGTGACCAGCTTCCTTGAGCCATTAGCTGCTATGGGGAGCTGAAGAACCCTTCTCACATACATGAAGGAAAAGTAATTACCCAGGCAAGCTCTAGGGGTTTTGAAATTGCAATATTTAATTCATGAGGTCAGAGCTGCCAAAGCCTTGGTTGGTGCTGCAGCAAAAACAGCCGGGAAGGTATTTGGGGTCAGAGCAGATCAACAAGCCTTCCCTGGGGAGGAGAAAAAGCTCTGGTGTACACTTATCAGCTAATCTATTCCTTACACTCTGCTCCACCAGTGTGCCAAGAACTCCATCAGCTCATGACCTTTCACCTTCCAGATGCAGGTCTACCCCTTTCCTCTGCCTTCAAGCCAAACCCTCTTAGGGGATCCCCAGAGTTCCTAAGCTCCTGGGTGCCCTGGGAGAATTCACCTGGTACATGATGGAGGAAGGTGGAGGCTCGATGCATGGCTGCTGGTCGGGGAGGGGCAGCTCCTCCAGCAGGTCCACGTTGGACAGTGCATCTTCCAGGGTGACGTGGGTGGTCATGGCTGCAGTTTCTGGACTACGAGCTGAGGGGACGGGAAGGGAAGGACAATGAAGAATTTTAGGGGCCTCGAATATTTCTCTCACTCTCACCCGGTCCAGGCTCCTTTCAGAGAATAAAGGGTGTTAACACACATTGAGACCACACTTGCTACTCTTTCACGAGGTACCCTTCACTTGCGCTTGATATTTCAAGATCTCTTTACAGTTTACAAAGTACTTTTTCCGTCTGTGATCTCAGTTGAGCCTCACCGCAACCCTCTGTGATCGGTATGGTAGATAGTATCACACCCGCAGAGCTGATGAAGAAACAAGGCTCCGAGAAGTTAGGCGACGCCCACACAACCAGTGTGAACAAGGGCAAAAGACCTCAAGTGATGCCGGATGCTACAACACGGGCCACAGCCAGCCCCTGATATTTGTTCTTCGTGAGAACATTTATCAGTTCCACTCTTAAATTATTGCACGGCACAAATACTTATGATTGCAACAGCCAAGATTATCCACTTGAAACCAGAGCCTAGGTTTTACAAGCTAATAAGCAGGGACTGAAAGAATTCGGACTCCAGCAAAAGTAATCTCCTTTGCAAAAGGGAAGAGCCATCATCTTCTTGGCTGGGGTGTGTGTTGTGAGCCACACCAAATGAATCAGCCCTGAATGGACATTTTTGTGTCTGGGACCCTGGTGGGGAGCAGTGGCATCTGTGGGAACTTTGCCAGGCAGTGAAACTGAAGAGGATCTGAACAGCATAGTTACCCAACTCAGCAAACGTTTTTTTCAAAACTCAATTTTTTCAAGCATATGTGAAATGTTGATAAAAAATAATCATGATTTAGGCCACATCTCCCCAAATATGGTCTCCTAGAAGTCACCATCACTGATTATGGCGCAATAAAATCAGAACTCAATAATGCAATTAGCCCCGCCTCAAACCCCATACCTATGAAAGTTTATAAAAACAGACTTCAAGGTTATTCATAGCTAAAGAAAAATAGAAATGATAAACTACTTAGAACTGAAAGACAGCATGAATACATATCTTAAATGCATTTAGTAGAAAATAAGAAAGTAGAACTAAATGAACTGAATTTTCCACTCAAAATCTAAAGAAAGAATACAAATCAACCCCCAAATATGAGAATATAGGGACTGATAATTACAAAAGCAGAAATGAATGAAGCAAAAACCGAAGCAAACCAAAATAGACAAACAGTAGACCAAGTGGACAAAATTCTAAAAACTGAGTTTTATGAGGTTAATAATAATAATAAGCTAACCCTTTGGCACCTTTGAATAAGGAAACAGAGAGAGGGCCCATGGTGCCTGCAGAGCAGCCCTCCTTCCCCCACCCCCCAAGCACAGGGAAGTGTGAGGCATGCTTAAGGGCCGGAGTAGAGTGTGAGAGGATTTGCCCCACTCATTAGGAAATGTGGTGCCAGAGCACAGGGGAGAAGCGGATCACCCCCACGAGAACTGGGTCCAGGGGCTGCCGGCTGAAACAGCTGGAGTGTACCCAACAGCTTGCTGCCCCTAAACTAGTGTCCCCATTAGGCCTACAGTTGGGAAGGCAGATGGGGGTGAGCAGCTAATGATGATTCACGTGTCACCACGTCACTGAGTTCTCAACACACCTCCCAGTCATGCACCATGGCAACAGCAAGGCCACATCCAATGAGGGCACAGGCAGCTCAGAAGAGACTTCCCCTTCTGCCCTCTGCAGGCACCTGGCCTCACTGGGCGGTTTCAGGCCCTCCCCACACCTATGCTTCTTCCTCTTCTCTCCCCTGCCTTCGAAGTGTGGCATTCAGTTCTACAGCAAAACTATGTGTCAATCCGCAGAAAAGACTGCCTTCTTTCTCACATTAACATTAAGCCCATTTTGCAGGAGGGGTTAATGATTGTCTGGAGCATAATAATCTACAAGCTCCAAAGCCCTAATAACTCTCTTCATTAATTCAAATAATAATGATGACGATAATAATAATAATAAAACATCTTTTAGCCCTTATTCTGTGTGGTACCAAACACCTGACTACTTTAATTATGCTTCAACCCTACAAAGGTAGGTACTATGATTATTCCCATTTTACAGATGAGCAAACAGAAGCTCAGAATTTAATTTCACAAGGTCAAGTGCTAGCAGGTAATGGAGCTATGGTGGGATTCTAGGTTTGTCCTATAAAAGGCCTAGAAGCAGAAATCTATCAATAACTACTAGGATTATGTCAAAGGGACCCAGAAGCCAGCTTGAGGCATTTCCAATGGCCACACATGGGGCAATGTGAGCACCACTTGGCATATTACTTTCTTACTGTTGGAAGATGCCTGTGAACCAACTTATATGTTGAAAATCAATAAATAAAAGAAGCAAACACTTAACCTGTCTTGTATACAAACTGCATTACTGGAAAACCAAATTGCAGAAGAGAGAGATGCTTCTTACTATAAAGTTCTTTCTCCGCCCCCCTCCAACCCCAAGAAACAGTGACAGAATTAAAATATTCCTATTTTCAAATCCCTAATAAACAAATGGATGTAGGCACTGACCATCAACTGCTGCTAATAACACTAAAGGAAAGAATCAGATTTTTTCCATCAGACATTTTTCCTTCAGATGTACCTCCCGATGGAAAAACACACCATCACCTCATGAAGAATGCTGGACCCAAAACAAAAACTTTGAATCTAATCAAGCCTTTGATCCCAGTTGACAGGAAATACAGAAGACAGAACACATTAAAATATGCCACAGTGAAGATATCAGTAAAATCTATGGGAAACTCTCTTGGACAAATGACTCAGTGCCCTCAACAAATAAATTGGAAAAAAAAA